GGGCCTGCTTGGCTGCATCCCGCACCTCCTCCTTGTCTGTGCGACACAGGTAGACCAGCTGATCGATGCTCTCCTTGGCCTGTGGCACATGGGGGACAGGGGAGGGCTGTTAGTACCTGAGCAGCTAGTTAAGTGCGGCTAGCTGAGCAGGTCTAGCTAAGTATGGATAGCTGAGTTTTGCTGGCTAAGTATGGCTAGCAGAGCAGGGCTGGCAAAGCGAGGCTAGCTACATGTGGGTAGCTAAGCATGGCTAACTAAGTGTGGATAATTCAACGTGGCTAGCTGATTGCAGCTAGCTGAGCAGCTAAATGGGGCAGCTAGCACAGGCATGACACTGATGTTCCATTTCTGAGACGCGTGCTGCTTTTTTTTTGTATAACCCACTTCACAGCCGGTACACCAGTACTTAAGACCCCCTGTACCAACAAGGGGGCGTACAAGCCATTAGCCATAACAGGCAGTACCCACCTTGAGGGACGCAAGGGCCTTGCAGCCGGCAACTCTGGTTTCCAAGATCTCATCCTCCAGGAGCTCCAAACAGCTGACCAAGGCCTGAATGGGGCGGTACAGTGTCATACACATGCTCCGTTCCAGGGGATGGACCCAAAGCCCGTTAGCCAGACCAGTGTGTGGTGTGTGGTGTACCGTGCTGTTAGAAGCCTCACCCGCTCACGTTGCAGCGGATGCTCGGCCAGCCCCCGGAGCAGCGAGCTTGCCGTGCTGCAGACCTTCCCCCGGGGGTCCACGAGGAGCCGGCTGACGGCGTGCAGGACCTCCCGCTTCACACTGGAGTCTGTCAGCCTCTTCAGCACTTTCAGCAGGGTGTCCTGGTCCCCGGACTGTAGGCTGTGCACCAACCACACTGTGGGAGGGGGTGAGGCAATGAGGAGGGGGGGGCGAGCAACAAAAGGAAGGCACGCCCCGTGCACGGTGGCTGTTCCATGTCCTCCCACTCACCCTCTTCTGCCAGCTCAACGATGTGCGCCTGTAAGGAGCTTAGACCCTCGGTGTCCAGGTACTTCCAGAACTGGAAGACGGTCAGAACCTCTCGAGCCCCCCCAGCGCCACGCCGGGGCAGCTTCCGCTCCTGGATCCGCTCTGCCAGCCTCAAGAACACTGGGGGAGGGACAGAGTGGCAGCAACCTGTTACCAAAATGCTTACCATGCCACCCTCAGGCCACCACACCTCTGTGGCAACTTCTGTTTTGTTACCTTCATCAGAGATGGCCCTGCTGCGCTCGGGCAGCTGGCCTGTGTAGTTGCAGGCCAGCGCCTTCAGGAAGTTCTCCACGGATGTGCTGTAGACCCTGGCACGTTCTATGCATCGCTTCCATAGAGACAGGGCACCTTCACAGTTCTGTATCTGTGGTACCACTGTTTGAGAACAGGAAGAGTGGTGGGACAGGTTTAAAAAAAAAAAGATGGAAAGATCGAGAGGCAAGAGAGAGAAGGACAGAGACATGGGGCCTGTAAGGCAATCGAAGTAATACTGGAATAGAGTAACACTGAAATAGAGTAATACTGAAATAGAGTAACACTGAAATAGAGTGATACTGAAATAGAGTAACACTGAAATAGAATAATACTGAAATAGAATGATACTGAAACCTTTACAAGGAAGTGACTTTGGTTCAGCTCTGCCTCAGGCGTACCTTGCTCCGGCTCGGCATACGGGCCGTACGAATCCTCCACAACCCGACGGATCAGCTCCAGAACCCTGGTCTCCCTCAGCAGGAAGTCCAGGGCATACATCTCACCACAGCGAAGCGGGCCAAAGGTACCCAGCCGCTGTGGGCGCAAACATCCATCGGGAGACACAACGGTGAGCTCCTCAAGATTCAAGCCTAAGGGTGTGTTTGTGTGTGTGTGTGTGTGTGTGTGTGTGTGTGTGTGTGAGAGAGTGTGTGAGATGCAACTCTCTGGCAACCTCACCAGTAGCTGGACACTGCAATTCCTCAGGTGGACCAACAGGGCCTGATCAAGAGCCTCAAACCCAGAGCTCATGGGGCTGGACGGGGATTCCCAGCAGTGTCTGTCACACCCCCCATCGTCTCCTGTGCTCTTCCCTGCATGTGTGTCACTGTACATTCAATGTATAGCAGAGGTTCATATTACAAATCGCAAAAAACAAAGACACATATATACACTGACTTAAACCTAACAACATATATTTAATGTAAAGTGACATGTATGGAATATGACACATTAACACCACTTATTCTGCCACTGTTGAATTCTTGAATCTGATTGGACAGAAGGTTGTTGATTAATTTCATATAACTGCACACCTAGTGTTGACCAGGCAAATCACAGCAGTAAATTATTATTCTTATTATACTCTTGAACTCTAATGTTTAAAAACATATAATGTGCAGCTTGTGGCGCTAAACCCAACACACATAAAAAGGTCAGGTGACAATTTTAATCCACTGGCGTTATACTCATCTTCACCAATAGATGGTAGCAGAGCTCAGTGTGCAATCGCTCGTTAATTTTTACACACTGCATTTCTCAGCAAATTCAAACTGACAAGTGGCAGGACAGTGCTGAGGTGAGTGAAGGACATTTTTATGCCCAGACCTGCCATCGGTGTGATTTCTAGCCCTTTCTTCTTCCACGTTGTCCTCCTCATCGTCAAGGTCAGTGTTGTTCAGGAAGTCGAAGCTGCCAAGGGCGTTTTCGACCGTCAGGCTCACGCTGGATGAGCGGCTGCGGTTCTGGCCCTGGGAAGCACAAGCATCCAAATAAACACACTCATACACATAAATTCACGCTGACACACAAACACCGGATACAGACGCACATACCAATTGTCCATTAAAACACACACACACACACACACACTCTGCACTGCCGGCCTTCTGTCTGTATGTTTAATTTTCTCAATTATCTTTAGGTCGGCCTGGTGGGTGGTTGAGGGGGAGACAGCGGGAGGAGCAAAATGTCGGGGCATGGCCCAGCGAGGAAGAAATGGGGGAGGGGAGGAAGTGCCGTGGAAAACAGGAAATGACACGGAGGGAGAAGGAAATAGCAAGGGGGGGGGGGGGTCGTACAGAGGGGCAGGCTGTAAAAGTTTTCATGCTATCATACGTGTAGCGTGTAGTTGCTCTGTCTGAATTCCTCTGCCTACTGCGTTTTCTCCTGTAGTGTTTCTAGCCTCATGCTCTAACTACCCCCCTGTTTGTTTCCATACCCTAAAGTCTGCAAAACACTGTCACCCCTGATATTTAAAAAAGCCCATACTGCTCTTCATCAGCACGGCCGGTTCTGGGAGAGCAGCCCCACGGTCAATGCCTTAAGCACCTGAGCCCGTAGGATTGGACCAGCGGCACCACAGCTGGTCGGGCAGGGTACAGCCAGCAAACTCACCGAGAGTATGTCCTCCAGCTGCTTCAGCTCCTCCTCCAGGCCCTGAAGCTCAGGGAACTGGCCCCTGTAGTCATCCAGGCAGGAGATGACGGTGCTCAGCGCCTCGTCCAGGCTTCTGTCTGCCCCTGGCTTCTGAGCCTCCTGCCCCGGGGGCTGGGCAGAGTGCCTCTTTACACTCTCTTCTGCCGTTTCTGCCCATGCTACCTTCTGCTCGTGGACTGGAGATCCGGTCCGTTCAGAGTCACTGGCAGGGGGCGTACTGAAGTGCGCTTGCTCGCCTGCTTTGGGTGGTGCTGGTGAGGAATGCAGACCGCCCACATCTTTCTCCTCTTGCTCCTCCACTTCCTCTTCCTCAGGGGCAGCCGGTGTTCCCTCAGTGCCAAGTGGGAGGGCAGAGGAAGCCCCCGAGGTCACAGGGGATGAGGGCTCGGTGGCGCCTGGCTGTGGGGCATCCCCATCTCTGCTAGCCTCCTCCGTTTCTGTGGGCACGGACTCTCCGACCAGGACGTCACCGATGGAGACGATGGAGGCCTCCTCGGAGGACTCGCCCGAGTCTGGAGGCGGCCTGTCCGTAACTGTGCCGTCCATGCTGTGCTCGCTGATGTGGCTGAGTGAGCGCGAGATGCAGGCGTGGCCGTTGGGTACGGCCTGCTCCCCATCCGGCTGCCCGTCCGCCTCCTCGGCCCGCTCCGCGATGGCATCTGGCCGGCTTGGGGTGGAGGTGGCAGAGTCGCGCGGCGCAAACGTGATCTCGATGGCAGGTGCGGCAGCCTGCAGCTCAGGCTGGACCAAAGTCACATGGGAGTGCCGCATTCCAACAGAGAGCTGCGGGCTGGACGAGTCGTCGGACGACTCTGAGGAGTTGGACCAGGCGGTGCCATTTTCCATCTCCTCTTGCCTTCGCAGCATGTTCTATGACGGGGTGGGGGGAGGAGTCAAAATTAAAGGTAGAAGTGCACATGGATAAACACATGATAACTGGGAGTGGGTGTGGCTACCTGCGACGGACAGGGAGGTTACGGACCAATCAGCTTTCTTCCCAACAGAAAGCTGCCCAACCAGAGGGGGACAAGCTTGGCTTCCGGCCCAGAAAACACACAGACCCCCTGCTCTGTTTGACGGGCTTCTGTTTAATATAATTTCTGTCTCGCCGGGTCATGCATTCCAGCCCTGATAATAGCACAGATACCAACCATGTTGAGAAGCCGTTAGGATTATCAAACTCCAGCCCCCACAAGGGGGGCTAAAATCAGTTACGTCTGGTGCCGATTTCCATCCCCTGTCCCTCTCTGGAGCAGCTGCAGACCAGGACCGCCGACAGGACAGGGTACTAACTACACACTATGTCGCTCCCAGACTACTGGGCTCCCACTAGCAACACTTACATCCATCTGCATGCGCGTGCACCCGAGTCTCATGGGGGTGACGTCGCTGCACGAGCAGCTGTGAGACAGCCTCTCAGAGAGCGTGTCACGGAACACCTCCAGAAGGGACCAGCGCTGCTTGGGCGGCCCGCTCCTCAGAGCGGTCTTCGTGTGAGGGGGCGGGGGCGGGGGCGGATGGAGGTCGAGAGAATGACAATGAGAATGGAGAATGACGGCTAGTCTATCAGGCCAGGAGTGGGCTGCGGCTACGGCTACTCGCTACGTTAAGGCCACCTCTGGCTCATCGGCACAAACGCAATGGCACAGGGGAAGCTGGAACAGAGACGTCAGGTGGCAAGTTAAAGAAGACAAGAGACATTATTCCAGAAACTCAATGGATGACTCCTTTTAAGGAGAGACGGATCAAAGCGGAGCTACCAAATACCACCAAATACCACCAAATTTACAGGTGAATATCAGCTAATGTAACTATTATTGTCTGCAACTCTACACTGCCCAGACTCCCTAGGCCAGCGTTTCTCAACCTATTCTTTGAAGTCCCCAGGACAGTCCACATTTTTGCTCCCTCCCAGGTCCCAGCACACATGTACCAGGTATTCAGTGTTCGTGATTGGCTGGGAGCTTGGAGGGAGCAAAAATGTGGACTGTCTGGGGATCCCTGAGGACTGGGTTGAGAAACCCTGCCCTAGGATATCAATCGAATGACCTATGATACTGTGACCTTTGACCATATAATGAAGTCTGACAGTTATCCACTGCTAACAGAGACTGTAACGTAAGGGGTGTTAGGTGGTTGTGCGGCGTGGTGCACAGTGCAGGGGACACTCACATAGAAGGCCTGCTCTCGCAGTGAGGGTGTGTCCGGGGGACTCTGGTTATAGGTAGAGAAGCGCTTGTTGACTGACGGAGCTTTATTCACCGTGCTGACTGTGGAGCTCTGGTCATCTTTGTCGAAGGGACTAAGGGAGGACAGCAAGAGAGAAGGCGAATGTAGATCTAAGCACACACCCATGTGCAATATTTGCAGCAATAACTCTGCTGAATTTCTCTGCCATTTGGAGTATATCAGATTCTCCTTTTCTCCTGCTACCTTTATTAGGTGCCATTCATCAAGCCCTCCAGGCAGAAGCGTTTCGCTTCCAGGCTCTGAAGTGCCCTACACGGAGAATTCAGACCCCAGGACATACACATGCTTGGCTGTATCAGACACAAACACGCGTAACTATGACAGCAAGTTAATAAATACGGGAAAACAAGCGGTGGAGGCCCTGGAGGATATGCTATAAAAGGTAGAACGCGAGAGAGCTCTTCAGCACACTGTGCACGGGGCCAGGGGGGTCTGCCGCAGACCTTAACGTCTCATTTTAACCAGACCTTTCATGATGGTCAGGACAAATTGAATCAGCACTCTGACGGACAATAAAACATTCAAGGATAGAGCTCATCAAAGACGAAGGAGACATTCCAGGTAAAAGAAAAAAAAAAGTAAATTGCCAGAAATTAATATTTCAACACAGGAATTCGAACGGCAAAACAGAAGAGAACAGACGGGACCCCCTTCCCCCAGAAGTGAGGAGAGTTGGCCCCCCAACACACTGTCTGACAAGGGGGCGCTAAACGAGATTTGCCCGTGACACATGAGTCTGCTCACTCACGCCAAGTTGTCATTACAGCGGGGGACATACATGGTGACAGACGGAGAGCCGGTCCCTTCAGTTTCACTGATAAGGCCACACAGCACCACATCTAGGCAGCAACAGGAAATGCACTCAGTAAACACCCATGTAAATATGTTACCCTCTCTGTTAATGAATGACCACACCTCTGAGGCCCGTTCTGCTATGAGCTGAAATAAACACCCCCCACCCCACCCTTCGAGCCCTACCACCCAACCGTTGTCCTGGAAGCAAGCAGGAGACTCTCGAGAGTGTTTCTGACAATAAGACCCTATTCAAATCACCTGATGTAGATTCATTCAGGCCACAGTGACAGCGAGAGCCCTCAGGTGCTGGTGGTGAAGGTCCGTATAGCCAGTACCATAAACCCAAAACCAAGGTTACTCACCCCCACACCAGAACTACAGAACTACAAACACAACCAGTTCCGATGATCTAGGTCATTCAAGCACAGATTCAAGAAATGCCAAAGAAGAGAAGCAGATACCACACAGAACGTGCCGTTTAGTACTGGGGCAAAGAGACCGGTTCCTCAGGTTCTGGGAGGTAAGAGAAATTGGGGTCTGGGAACTCTGATGATGACATAACAATCCCTGCTCAATGCCAGGCACACTACTGACACAGAAAAAGAGGGAAAAAAGCACAGAAGGCTAATGTACCGGCTACCAAATCAGGGATAAACGCTTCACATCAAGGCTGACTCACTTCCACACAACTTCCAGACTCAGCTTGATGGTCCCGAGGTCGTTGATGTCGACGGCGACCATCTGGGGCAGAGCAGCAAACAGGTCCTTCGTTTCACATGACACATTTCCCACCACGACGTGATTGGCCAGGCTCTTTAACTCCGTCACCTGGGCAACCGTAGAAAGTGACAGGAGTTAGAAAGACAGACAGCAAACTTTTTAAGCAGCCCCCCTGTGTCTAGGTGTCCTGTGACTCCCCTGCAAGTCTTCCCAATCCTCTAGGAGATATGTGATGGAATTTATATCTCCCCCTGTCATCTTTCTATAACTCCATCCTGAGAAATCATGAAGTCGTCTCTCTCGGGGAATGGGAGAGGTTTCTGGGTGGTGGAAGTGGGACACCTGCTCACCTTGATCGACAAGAACTCTGTTATAAGGGGCAGAAAGACCATGTCTTCACTGTCCCACACCTGCTTGCCGTTCAGCTCGATCCGGCCCCGCAGTTTCCAGCGCTGCCGCCCGTATTTCATGAAGATCTGTAGAAGTTCCAGAAGGTCGAGTGCATACAGAGACAAGAAAGGTACCTCCACCTTTCTCATGGGAACAAACGTCAGGGCTCACAGTTTCATTAGCTCTGCTGTTGTGTGATGACTTCTCCCCTTCCAGACGTATTTCCCCCAAAAACCTGACCTCTGATCTTCTAAGCTCCTGGAAGATCAGATACCTAAAATGGCCTGGGCAGCCTAATGAGGTCACAGACTGATGCAATACTCTTCACCGTCAATCACTGGCAGTTGAGCAGCAAGAAGTCATTCATAATATCGGCTCAGTTCCTGTTTCTACCCTTCTTGCCCAAACCTAGAAGGCCAACTCAAGTGCGGAAGGGAGACGGCAGGTGAGGGCGAGAACTGACCTCGTACTGGTCTCCGGCACACAGGCGCGCAAAGCCAGCCAGACCTGAGTCACACAGGGGACAAAGGGGGCGTTAAACTTTGAGATGGTCCCCCGTGCGGCGTGACAGGGCGGCAGGAAGACAGAGCTCAGTGTAACAGGGCGACAGGAAGACAGAGCTCAGTGTAACAGGGCGGCAGGAAGACAGAGCTCAGTGTAACAGGGTGGCAGGAAGACAGAGCTCAGTGTAACAGGGCGGCAGGAAGACAGAGCTCAGTGTAACAGGGTGGCGGGAAGAGATCACTACTAAGTGCTGCTGCTTCTTTCAATTAGTCAGTGTCAAGTCAACTGGGCTTTATTGTCATGCCATCCACAGACAGATACACGCTGGCACAAAATGGCGCCCTCCCCAGGAACGTGGTGAGACATACAACAGCACTGACAGAGGGAGGATTTTCACAGTACAGACACTCCTCTACTTACGAACTTTCAATTTATGAACTTTCAGACATTACGTTCATCGGGCTCCCGTTTCTTGTCAGCAACATCTTTTTTTTTTTCTGCCCCAATTCCGCCAAGTGCGACTTGCTTACGCTTACGGCGGCGTAGCGTGCGTACTCCCAGCATCCTAGTTCTTTGTACTTGCGTGCACCCTTAAAATGTTGTTGAATAATGACTTAGGAATATTTCAAGTTACGAACGGCCGTTCGGAACGTAACTCGTTCGTAAGTAGAGCAGCGTCTACACTGCCAATCAAAGTTATAACCAAAATCAGGTTTTTTGGCTTACGTTATGTGCAGTATACTTACAGTGCAAAAACAAAGGACAGTACAAAAGAAGGGCGGCTGGGCATAAAGGTTTATACACATTTATGTACACAGTGCAGTGTATGTATGTAAACAAGAAACAAGGCAGGAGCAGAATGACAGGATAAACATAGTGATTATCTAACGATAAATAGATGAATAATAATAATAATATTTTACACACCCTTCATCTTGACGTGGAACTCCCCCAGCTGGCTTTCCAGCTCATTCTCCATCAGGCACATGTTCTGTAGGGCAGAGGGACAGAGAGACCATAAGAGGGGCAGCTCACCAGTCACCAATGCCCCCAGTCCGCCAGAGGGGGCGCCCTCACCTCTGTATATTCCTTATAGCCTTTGCTGGCCTCTGACAGGCTCTCGCGGGCCTCACGGCTCCCAGAGGAGGCAGTGTAGGCCTTCACCATCTTGCTGGCTCCGTCGCGCAGCCTGCGCCGCATGCAGTAGGCCTCGTACAGCTCGTCGATCTGCGCGGGGCAACAACCGGGTTCTCGGTTAATCCAGAATCCATCCATCCATTCAACAATGCAAGCATTCAGCTTTAAACCACTACTGCCACTCAGGATTGCAGTGATGTTGAAAGAGAATTTTACATGAACTAGAAAAGATCATGTTTGAGTTTTTGGCATAGAAATGTATGTTGATGTACACCAGCAACACACACACACACACACACACACACAGGTTTGTAATAATGTCTTTGTGGGGACTCTCCATTCTTTTCTATGTGGAAAACCCTAATCCCAACATGACAACCTTTACCCCCACCCAGCCCTAACCTTAACCATAAGTAACCAAACAAAATACAAGACTTTTAGCATTTTTACTTTTTTGATTGCAGTCACAGATCTTTGTGGGAACCTGAGAAATTGTCCCCACATTGTCAAACCATAAATATAAACCTGATCAACTCACACATGCCTCTCCCGTAACCCCGCTACTGGGTTGCCAGCCTTCATTTTTGGATGGGGAATTTCGGGATCTCTTCCCTGATTTCTAAATGCATCTGACTTTCAGAAGAATCACGCCCCATGTATGATAAAGTGCACAGATAAGTGAACAGAACTGAGGGACATGGGGTGATTCTGGGATCATCTGGCAAACTCATCCTGATCCCTTCTTTCAAGCTGAGGCCTGTTTTATCAATATTAATATTCAAATTCATTGAATGGTCTAATTTTGTTCCCTTAGCCTTGAGACAAACAGCAGACCTGGAAAACTGGGGGACTGGCGGCTCACTGTGTGCCTCCCATAAAGGCTCGAGTTGCCCGAAGAGCCTTCAGACCAGTAAGCTGCACTCCAAATGTCCTTCAAACAAGGGGTCACAACAAATCTGGCGTGCCAGGCAGGATGGGGTGGGGGGGATTAGCCACACCCCCCAGTGGGAGGACACCACCTGAGTCCGGAGGCTCCCGCTCCGCACTCGCGGTCCCGCTTTGGCAAACCCCGCCCCTGGTTACTGTAACCAACAGGGCACCATCGTGGTGTGAGGCATGGGGCAGAGGAAAAATAAACAGGACACGCCTCCTCGGTGCCGCACAACAGGAGAAAGATAGATCCCCCATTTTTCCACACCGATCCGTCTCATCTGGAGGTGATTAAGTGCTGGCGGGAGCTCATTACCACCGGAGACACGGCACTGGGTGTAAGGGTCTGCTGCGGGTGCTAATTACTACACTACTACTGACACAGTCAAATAGCAGTTGGGGGTTAAGGGCCACGCTCAGGGGCCAAATAATGAAATCACTCAGCCAGGCCTGGGATTCGGACCTGCGACCTTCCGACCTGCTGGGCCACACACCACCCCAACAAAGCATCTATTGTTTAGTGTGTATTCTGGGAGGATGAAGGGCCAAAGTTTGCGGTTCAAAATATAAGAGATATTGTGTACACAAAAGCCCCCTGTTCTGAAAGGTCGTCCCCTTTGTCCCCGGAGTTGAGATGCTGAGGTCGTAACACTGTACTGTAGTAAGCAGCCAAATGACGCTTCAGGGAGGTCCTGTGTGCTTTTATAACGCCCTTCAGTTAACCTGCCTGGACTGAGTGTGGGGAAGCCAAAGACGTCAGCCTAGAGCTAAATAGATGAAGGCTTGGGCAGAGCACGCGCCCCAACAAACTCTCTCCGGAACATTCCCACACTAAGGCTTGTATTGTATTTAAAGGGGTCAGGGAATTATTTTAGAACATAAGAAAAGAACATAAGAAATCTACAAACGAGAGGAGGCCATTCGGCCCATCAAGCTCGTTTGGGGAGAACTTAACTAATAGCTCAGAGTTGTTAAAATCTTATCTAGCTCTGATTTGAAGGACCCCAGGGTTTTAGCTTGCACTACATGAACAGGAAGGTTATTCCATACTCTAACTACACGCATTTTAGTCTTTTTCCTCTTAAAAATGACTGAATCATTATAAATCTATAGTCCAAATGCATACTGAATATTTTTAAAAAGGCAGTTTTTCTGGCTTTGTGAGCTTGAGCATAAACACACGCACATTGTGCGGATAAAAAGAAGGGCCCATCTGCTGGCCACTAGGCCACAGCAAACAGGCCTGTTCTGAGACGCCACCGGGTTGTCATGACAACACGGCCTACAAGCTCCTAGGAGCCAAGGTCTGGTGTGTGTTCTGCTCTCTGTCCTAGTGGTATCAGTACCCACTCGGCCGGGCAGTACCAGCCTCAGAAACGCTTTTGGCACTAACACACGCATTTAACCCTTCGTGCAGGACGCGCTGCTAGGACAGCAGATGTCAGTAAATGCTCACCTTGCTCAGATGGAACTCCAGCCTCCGCATGAACCTCTCGGTCACCTTCACTTGCTGTTGGAGAAAAACACAAGGCCGGCTTTTAATCCTACTCTCCTTCTGTTCGGCATTTCTGGTCATCTATATTTATACTTTTTACGCAAAAAAAAATCTTAAATGAGAATGTCCTTAATGTGACAGTGGGAGCCATCTGCTATTAGCATGAGCCTCGCTGGGATTAAAAGTCGACCTGCAGAACGGAAGAGGTACATGTTGATCAGAATGGGGGCAGATCTCACCTTGTCCAGCTCGTACAGGAACCCCTGCAAAAGGGATGAGATTATATGAGCTTCAATCCACATAAAAATGTGGGTAAGCTTGGCAGCCACCTTGGGTAGCTGACGGGCACTGACCAGCCTCGAGTTCCTCTTGGACTCCCTCATCTGCCGATTGAGACCCTCCAGCTCTAGCTGATGAACCTGGAGGTAGGACCTGCAGAGAAGCAAACATCAGCCAGGTCGGTGTGCACAGGGGGAAGGGCGCTGGGGTCAGAACGGACAGCCTGGCCCGGCACCGTGGAGCTGAATGTAAACACATCATTCGGGCATCATAAAAGGATATTCATAGCTGAGGGCGGGCCGCTTGATGTGTTCTTTCTGTGCTGTTATATTTAGATATATTTTCATGAGAAATGGAAACTCCCTCCCTACCTCCCCAAAGACCTGAGAAACTCACTGCAAAACTCTCTTCACTCCCCAGCCGACACTCACTGCAGGCCTCTATACACGTCCCCCCCCCGACATTAACAACAGGCCTCTCTTCAGCACCCACCCCGACACTCATTGCAGGCCTCCATCCCCCCCAACGAC